GGCTGCAGTGGCATGGCCTGGGCTGGTGTAGCCCAGAGCAGGGATTCAGGCAGCAGTGGCATGGTGTGGGCTGGTGAAGCCCAGAGCAGGGATGCTGGCTGCAGTGGCATGGTTTGCACTGGTGTAGCCTGGAGCAGGACGATAGCAGCGGCAAAGAAAATGTTGGATTCAAGTTATCTTTCTTTATTTTGTATTTTATTTTAGGCAAATGTGAATGGTGCTGATGCATGGTGATGGTATAAACTTTTCACTGTATTTTATATCGAATACATGCGACAATGAATGATTCAATTCAATTCAATTCAAATGGTTTTCCTGTACGACACCAGATCACATGGGCCCTGTAGACACCCCCCCCCCCCCCCCCACCCCACCCAACAAGAAGCTCGTGGTAGCAAACCTACCCCATGGTGAGAAATGGTGCAGATTCATTCAACGTCATTTTCTCTGGCAAGGAGTGCTCATGCAATGAGAACTGTATCAAATGTCAGGCTAGATTATGCCTCCCTCCTTTCAGAAATGGGACTTGAATGTCCAACCTTTGGACTCTGTCTGGAGTGCTCGCCACTGAGCTACAGCTGACATATAACTCAGTTTTCTTAATGTTTCAGAGAGATTATCTTCTAAGCAGCCAAATCTAACAGACTGTGATAGTCCAACGGTCATCCTAGGTTTGTGCTGACTTTTCTTTAATCTTTGTTGAACTGATGGTACGAGTGTTGCAATCACACACACCTTCCTCAGGCTAAGGCGATCAATGTTCCTGCTCCGTATTGCTGTCCTGTGGTCCCTACTTGAGATTCAGGGAAAATGTGCATGCTAATGCTGAAAATTAAATGCAGAAGAAAAAATAAAAACAATGTTATTTTGTTGCATTTGACAAATTATTTGCAACAAGTTCCTTATCTTGAAAAGGGTATTTCCCTCCAAAGCTGATAATTACATGCTTTGTTTTTAAATGCTTTTAACCTAAGAGCAAAAGATACCGAAGAAGGGTCCAGGCCCGAAACGTCAGCCTTCCTGCTCCTCTGATGCTGCTTGGCCTGCTGTGTTCATCCAGCTCTACACCTCGTTATCTCACAATTAAGGAACTAATTGGTCTTGTCTTTAACACATTTTTGATTATTATAAATATATTTATGGAGGAAGCATATTCCTCTGAACTTCATAATCCCTCTGGAACCTCCTTCCCCTCCCCTTCCTACTGGCTCAATCCCCTCCCCCAACTCCCTCTCGTCATGCATTTACTATCCCATCTGACCTTCCGTTCTCTGATGCCGAACTGTCCTCAGCCAACATCTCAGTTTCATACCTCTGCATCGCCACCTTAATGAATTTCGGGCATGACACAACATTCTTCAGTCACCATTGCCTCCATGCCCATTTCTTTGGATAAGAGTCCTCTCCCTGTCCCACAGATCTCTTCGCCCACTGTCCAACACTCTTCCCTCCACCTGACCCCTCTCTCCAGCCATTTACCTGAACTCAACCCATTCATTGAGAACTGTTGACATGACACTGGTTGCCTCAATTTCTCTGCTCCCCCACCCATTCCAACCTATCTTTACGTGAACTGACTGCATGCACTTCATGCTCTCAGGTTCAACCCTGACTTTATAATTAAGCCTGCAAGACAAGGGTGGTGCTATTGTAGTCTAGCGGACTGACCTCTACATTGCAGAGAATGAACGTCAGCTCTCAGATATCTCCTCCTATCTCCCTCTGGATCATGACCTCACCATCAAACATCAGGCTGCCATGTCCACAATGCTCACTAACTTGATTTCATCTGGTGATCTTGCTCCCACTGCCTCCAAGCTGATAGTCTCCCAGCCCCGCACAACTCGCTTCTACCTCCTTCCCAAAATATTCAAGCTGGACTGCTCAGGCAGACCTTTGCCTGTCCCACAGAACTCATCAGTTCCTACCTGACTCTGTTCTTTCTCCTCTTGTCCAGTCCCTTCCCATTTACATCTATAATTCTTCTGACAATTCAGTTTCAGAATTTCCAGTTTGCGGGCTCGAGCCCCCTCCTTTTTATCACGGACATACAAACCTTTTACAAGTCTATCCTCCATCAGGATAGTCTCAGGGAAAAAAAGAGGCCTGAACCGTACCCATCCACCATCATCCTCCACCTGACTGAGCTCGTCCTCACTCTGAACAACTTCTCTTTTAACTCTTCTCACTTTCTTCAGGTCAGAGGGGTGGCCATGGGTACTCACAGGGGCACACATTATACTTGTCTCTTTGAGGGGTACATGGATCATTCCTTGTTCCAATCCTATTCCAGCACCCACGCACAACTCTTTCTCCAGTATGTTGATGATACCATCAGTGCTGCTTCCCTCACTCATCCAGAATTGGAAAACTTTATCAATTTCACTTCTAATTTCCACCCTGGTCTCACCTTCACCTGGTCCATGTCTGACTCTTCCCTTTCCTTCCTCAACATCTCTTATTCTATTTCTGGGGATAGACTGGCCACTAATATCCGCTACAAACCAACTGACTCCCCCACAGTTACCTTGACTATACATCCTCACACCCTGCTTCCTGTAAAGACTGTATTCCATTCCACCAGTTCCTCTATCTCCTTCGCGTCTGTCCTGATGATGCCAACTTTGAGAAGGGGGGCATCAGAAATGTCCACCTTCTTCCTCCACTGAGGATTCCATTGCAATGTAGATGACAAAGCTCTCAGCTGAATCTGACCCATCTCCTGCAGTTCAGTCCTCTCTTCCTTCTCACAACAGCAATACGGTCCCCTTAGTCTTTGCTTGCCTTCCTTTCAGCATCCACATTCAGAGGATCATTAGCCACCTCCAGCAGGATACCATCACCTTACACATATTCCCCTCCCCTTCCTTGTCAGCCTTCTGCAACGATGGTTCCCTCTGGAACACCCTGACCTACACCTCCTTCACTCCCAACACCCCCCACAGTACCTTCCCCTGCAACCGCAGAAGGTATCACACCTGCCTATTTACCTTCACACTCCTCAGTATCCAAGGGCCCAAACCTACCTTCCAGGTGAAGCAGCACTTAACTTGCACCTCACTACTCACAATGTGCTCTCCTCTACATTGGGGGAAACAAAATGTAAACTGGGAGACCGCTTCACAGAACACTTAGGTTCTGTCTGCAAAAAAGACCCTGAGCATCCAGTTGCCTGTTGCTTCAACACAACACCTTGTTCCCTGGCCAACATCTCTGCCTCAGGCTTGCTGCAGTGCTCCAGCAAAGCTCAGCGCAAGCTAGAAGAACAGCTTGTCATTTTCCACGTGGGAACTATACAGCCTTCTGGACTCAATATCAAGTTCAACAATTTTAGGGCTTCAGGCACATTCTCCCATGTCCTTACACAACCCCTCACACACGAGGCCTTGTTATTACATGGTCTACTGTTACACACTGCCCATTGTTAGCCAATAATAGAGACCATTTGCAGCCATTCATTCTCCTAGACTGACCATTATCCACTCCTTCGTCTATCCTTCAGTTCTTCTCTCTCTTTGGGCTCTATCTCCACCTCTCATTTACTCTTTATCTCCTCCCTATCTTCAACAAAATAAAAATTCCCAGCTACCATTAGTTCTGAAGAAAGTTCACTAGAACTGAAACAATAACTCTGATTTCTCTCCACAAATGCTGCCAAACCTGCTGAGATTTTCCAGCAATTTCTGTGTTTGTTGGCAATGAAATTTCACTTGGTTGATTCTTGGGATATCACAGTTGCCCTGTCAGTAGAAAGTAAGTAGCTTTGGCCTATATCCTGAGGTTCAGAAGAATGAGGTCTTATTTTAAGTATGTAAAAATTGTTATAGGACCTTTTTAAAGCAGATGCTGGAAAATGTAACAGAGGTTTACAGACACAGGAGCCTTAAAACATTTGTTGACAAGGTGTGAACATTGTGCTCACTGGATAGGCCAGCATTCACTGCTTATCCCTTACTACCCTCCAGAAGGTGGTGGTGAGCAATCATAATGTAATCTATATAGGTATTAAGTATTAACCAGTTTCTTAACAAAATAAACAATTCTGATATTTTTTCTCTTTAAAAATTGTTGTCCGTACATAAATTTGGTATAGACATAAAGAGAGGATTAAAAAAGACCCCACCAGATAACAGTATCAATGTGCATTCCAATACAATGACAAACTCACATCGCAGGTACACTCTTTCTCGCATACCTCAGCCATAATCCGGCCACGTCCAAATTTTTACAGCTCCTTTCGGAATACGCATGCGTCGGAAGCCATTGGGGGATTGGGCAAGGCCCACTGCACCTACGTCCTAAGGGGAGACGGAACATGCGCATACGACGGCCGTCTTCCGAACTGGGCCAGAGAGCGCATATGCAAACCTCGACTGTTCAAGGCAAACCCTGGATCGGGATACTGCGCAAGCGCCGTAGCACGCCGAACAATGGACCGGCAGAGTACGCATGCTCTACAGGGGCAGCGGGAACAGGCGAGTGCGCCTGCGCGTCATTCTACACTCGCCCACCATCCCGCGGGGCTGGGGTAAGTGCGCCTGCGCGCTGTTGTTTCTTGGTACCTCCCTCACCTGCGGAGTGCGGCCGTTGCTAACGGCAAGTTGGTTAAGGAACAGGAAAGATGCCGTTGGGTTTGAAAGCCAGGAGGAAGAACAAATCTCGGGACAGCTCCGCCTTAGTGGACAACGAGGGGGATCCGGCATGGAGGGGCGGCAGTGCCGGTGCTGTTTCTCCCGATGGCGTTGGACCCGGGCTCCCTGCGCCGCCGCCTCACGCCCGGCCCAAACTGGTCTTCCACACGCAGCTGGCGCACGGCAGCCCCACCGGCCGCATCGAGGGCTTCTCCAATGTCCGTGAGCTGTACGCCAAGATCGGCGAGGTGTTCGGCATCCCGGCCTCCGAGGTAAAAGAAGAGACCCCACACCCGATGTGAAAACTGTGGACCGCAAACCTCCTCCCCTCTCCAATTCCCCACCCTCTCTCTCTCTCTCTCTCTGTCTCTCTCCACCAAACCCCACCTTGCCCTCATTCTTCCCCCTTTCTTTTCCTACTCTCTGCCTCCCCCGGTCTCCCTCCCTCCCCCCCCCCCCCCTCCCCTCCCCCCCCCCCCCTTCTTTAACCCCCATTCCACCTTCTTCACCTCTTCGTCCCCCACCCCACCTTGCTCACGCCAATTCTCCTCCATCCCCTTCTCCTGTCCCCCTTCCATCTCTCTGCCCCATCCCCTTACCCCTATCCCTACTCCCCTCTCACCCATTGCTACCCCAGCTTCCTATCTTTTTGTGCTCGCACTCTTTGCCGACCATCGCTGTTGATTTATTTTTTTTTCCTCACCACCATCCCCAAGTAGAAAGGACAGTTTTGCTAGCCAACAAACCTGTTGCAACGTCTCTAAGCATGGCTGCTGGGTTTGGGATGTTTCTGTTGGTTTGTTACAAAACACTCATTTTGTAACTGAGATAACACGGTGTAGTAACTGAATTTGGTTTTGTTACTAATTGTTAATACCATTCTTTTGTATGTTTGTAACGTGATCTGCATACAGTACTGAGTCTTGGATTCTTACAGCCGACTAATTCCTAAAAGCCCTATTTGCTGCCTCAGGGTTCATTTCACCACCTGAAGGTGTGGTGGAGTGATTTCAGCTCCAGCTCCCAAAAAGAAGTTGGATGAACTTTTGATGGAAGCAAGGGCTGAGGATATGAGGACTGATTGGATAGCTCTTTCAAAAATTTGGCATCAGCAGCATGGGCTGAATAGCTGTGCCCTGTGCTTGAAGTCAGTGACCAGTACAACATTCGTGTTGTATTTTGTGGCTTCATTGGAGAACAGCTTTCAACTCCGCATCATTTTGCATTTATATATCACCTTTACTGTAGTAAAACTGCCCCAGTCATTCCAAAGTGCTTTATAAAGTTAATCTTGAACACTGTTATTTTTGTTCCTACAAAAAGTACAGAATCATACAGCAAGGATGAAGGCCATTTGGCTTATCGTACTGAAGCTGAATTTTCTGTTTTCCCCTGTATCCCTTGTTATCTTTATCTTGTTTTGTTTTTAAAATAAAATTTTGTGCTCAAAGATTGACATGTGTATTTGGGATGGATATTTAAAAATGGAGCCTGAATTTATGTCAGGCTTTTCACATTCTCTGCAAGTTCCAAAATGTTTTAAAACCACTGAAGTTACTATTAAATCTAGTCATTGGTATCAACATCAATTTGCACATAGCAAGGTCCGATGAATAGCAAGTGATAATGACCAGACAATCTGTTAATTATGTTGGTTGAGGGATAAATATGAGTTGGGTCTTTCTAAAATCATATTGTTGGATTTTTAAAGTGTGCCTGAGAGGCAGCCAGTGCTTTGGTTTAATGTTAGGCCTGGAAGGTAGCACTGCTGACAGTACCACACTGAGCAGTCAACCTAGCTGAAGTCTGTGGAGTGAAGTTTGATTTCTGACTCTGTTAACTGACTGGAATCGTCATCAACAAGTGTTACACACCCACTCGACACTTACCTGCTCATTGACACTCTAACTTCAATCGATCCAGACTCTGGTACAGCCATTGTCAGAGATGGACAAGTGGGCAAAATGCCAGGACAGAAATGTGACTGCCTGTGACATTAAGACCACATTACACTCTCTGGTGAGCATGTAAATTCAGGAGATTGACAAATGACCATTCTCCTGTTATAAGCTTGGCAGTGGTGCTAAATACTAATTATTTCAGTGTTTCTGACCAAGATTTAATTGAAGATAAGTGCATAAGTGTACCTCACTTCAAAAATATTTCATGGCTTCTTAAAAGTTTGTGAGAACTACTATGCCAATAACGGTTTGTTCTTTCTAGATCTGGTGGTTTATTCACTGTCAGTCATGGAAATATGCATTGAATAGTTTCATTTGGTTCCTACTCCTTTGAGACCACTGATGTACGTACATCCTGCATTTCTCTGCCACAAAATCCATTTAAAGAGCTGCCTGTGGGTGTATCTCACATCCTCTCTGCAACTGTAACCTGATCTGTCATATCCAATTATTACTTGCAATTTTCTTTTTCCTATTTTTGTTTAACACAAGTTTAGTTGCAATGAATGTATTCAGAGGTGCTCGTAATTGTTTAGTGTCCCATCTGTTGAATTGAGTAACCCAGTCTCTGCTTGCAGTTGTAATATTATCAAAGTAATTATCACTGAGGAAATGTTACTAAGTAGTTAATAAGTAATTCCTTTCTAACAGTGAATGGGGTTCAAGCAAAATTGCGCGCAGTGTTTAATGAAGATAGGCAAATCTCATTCAACTTTGAACATGAATGGAGTGATTTCTGTTTTTGTCAATTGGCAGATGAAGGTTTTGCACACCAAAATCAAGCTGTCACATGAAAGACTAGGGAAATTGTCTGCATCCTGTTTCGAAGGAAAATGGTTCCATGCATAAAACTTCGGGTAATGGTCAGTTCTGACAACTTGCAGAATGTTGTGTTGATCCTGTTTAGGTTTAGCTGGCATGGCTGGAAAAGCTTTTCTTGTCATGGTGGTTGTATTTTAACGAGTAGAAAAACTTACGTTCCTCCAATATTAATAACTAGACTTTTGATTTCCTTCATGTTTTTATACATTATTTAAAACCATCAGGTATGCTCATGAATGTAAAGGGAAACAGAAATATTGCACAGTGCAGTTTTTCTTTGTATGTTGTTTTGCATGAATGTTTTGAATTTTTTTATGTATAGAATACTGTGACTCCGGGATTGGTCCTGGGACCTTCACTGCTTACAATTTATTCATGTGACTTTTTTTTAATTCATTCATGGGATGTGGGCATCTGTGGTTAGTTCAGCATTATTGCCCATCGCTAATTGCCCAGAGATCAGTTAAGAATCAATACATTGCTGTGGGTCTGGAGTCACATGTAGGCCAGACCAGGGTTAGGATGGCAGATTTTCTTCCCTAAAGGGCATTAGTGAACCAGAGAGGTTTTCTGACAATCGACAATGGTCATCATTATTCCCAATTCTTCATTGAATTCAAATTATGCTATCTGCCAGGGTGGGATTTGAACCGGGTCTGCAGAACATTAGCTGAGTCATAGTCTGGCATAACAGGGAGAACTTACTATCTGGATACAGAACTAGGTAAAAAGTAGAAGAACAGAGGGTGGTTGTGGGGGGTTGCTTTTCACACTGGAGGCCTTGAAAGTGGAGTCGCAGGTAGATAGGATAATGGAGAAGGTGGTTGGTATGCTTGCCTTTATTGGCCAGTGCATCGAGTATAGGAGTTGAGAGGCCGTGTTGCGGCCGTACAGGACGTTGGTTCAGTGACTTTTGGAGTATTGCATGCAATTCTGATCTCCCTCCTATAGGAAGGATGTTATGAAATTAGAAAGTGTTCAGAAAAGTTTACGAGGATGTTGCTAGGGTTGGAGGGTTTGAACTATAGGGAGAAGCTGAATAGGCTATTTTCCCTGAAGCGTCGGAGGCTGACGGGTGACCTTATAGAGGTTTATAAAATCATGACGGGCATGGATAGGGTAAATAGGCAACATCTTTTTCTCAGGGTGGGCGATAGGTTTAAGGTGAGAGGGGAAAGACATGAAAGGGACCTAAGGAGCAACTTTTCATGCAGAGGATAGTGAGTATATGGAATGAGTTGTCAGAAGAAGTGATAGAGGCTGGTACAATTACAACATTTTAAAAGGCGTCTGGATGGGCAAATAGGTAGGGAGAGTTTAGAGGGATATGGGCCAAATAATGGCAAATGGGACTAGATTTATATCGAATATGTGGTCGGCATGGACGAATTGGACCAAAGGGTCTGTGTCTGTGCTGTATATCTCTATGACCCTATGACTGTATAATATCATTGGGCCTTTGTCTTCTAATAAATGAATGGAGGGAAGGTGTGGATGCTAAATTTGCTGACAGAATAAAGTTATGTTGGAAACTAAGCTGTGAAGATAAGGACCTTAGAAAAAGATATAGATAAGTTATAAGTTGGCAAAGATATCACAACTGGAGTATAATGTGGGAAGATTTGAAATTTCCACTTTTTGCAGGAAGAATCAAAAAGCATATTATCTAAACGGTGAGAGGTTGCACAGCTCGGATGCGTTGGATCTGGGTATCTTATGCATGAAGCACAAAAAGTTAATCTGGAGGTCGGCAAGTATTCAGCAAGGAGAATTGAATAAAAAAGTAGGAAGGTTATGTTTCGTTTATACAGGGTGCTTGTGAGATAGCATCTGGAATACTGAGTACAGTATTGATCTTATTGGTGGAAGGATGTAAGTAGGTTGGAGGCTGTCCAGACACAGTTTTTCAGACCATTGTCTGGAATGAGAGAGTTATTTTAGAAGGAAGATTGGACAAGCTCAGCTTGTAGCCACTGCAATTCAGAACAGGAAGAGACATTTTGATTGAAACATCTGGGAACCTGAAGGATAACACTGTATGGAGCTGGAAGAACACAGCAGGCCAGGCAGCATCAGAGGAGCAGGAAAGTTGATGTTTCGGTTCGGGACCCTTCTTCCGACTTCAGCATCTGCAGTTCTTACTATCTCTGAGAGCCTGAGGGATCTTGACAGGATAGATATGGAGAAGATGTTTTCTCTTATGGAAGGATCTAGAACTAGGGCTTCAGTTTAAAAAAAAAAAAAAAAAATCATGAGTTGCCTATTTAAAACAGAGTTGAGGTGAACTGTTTTTGAGAGGGTTGAGTGTTCTGGAACTCTTCTTGTAACGGTGGCCAAGACGGTTCTTGAATGTTTTTAAAGCAAAGTGGATAGATTCTTGTTAAACAAGGGAATGAATGTTTATCTGGGGTAGGTTGAAATGTGGATTTGAGGTTGCAATCAGATCGAGCATGACTTTATTGAATGACAGACTTGAAGGGCCTAATGAGAGGTTTTGTGATATGAGCCTGCTCATTTACTTCACACATGAATGAGATTTGGCATTGTATAGTTTTGAGGGCAAATTGCATAAGCCTTACAGGGAGAAGAGAATTGATGATTCTCAAATGTTACAGGCCCAACCTATTCAACCTCTCCTCGTGAGACAGTCCCTCCACACTGATACTCAGTATATTTCACTGAGAAAAGATGAGGTAATTTGAGCACAAAGATGGGCTTGAGATGAATGGCTAGTTTGTGCACAGTCTGTCCTGCATCATACTATGTGATTTGAATATATTAATTATAGATCAATATTTGGTGAAGATGTTTTTCTTGCTTTTACTTCCTCATGATATTTAACACAACATTTCCTGATCAGTATTGTTTTTGACTATTTTAGTTAGCTTCTGCCAGAATTGACTCCCTTTAGAAAGTAGTTGACTGCTTGGATGATAACTAATAGATGAAGTGGTATGATAAAGGGAGCACTTTCAGGATGGCAACTAATGGTGTGCCACAGGGATCAGTACTGGGGCTTAACATATTTACAATATGTTGTGCCACAGGGATCAGTACTGGGGCTTAACATATTTACAATATGTTTGAATGACTTGAATAAGAAAAGTGAATTTACTGTAGCCAAGTTTGCAGGTAACACGAAAATAGGTGGGAACGCAAGTGGGGAAGATGGCACAAAGAGGTTATGGAAGGATATGGATAGTTTAAGGGATAGTTTAATGGAATACATGAAGAGCTATGAGGCTGTGCACTTTGGCAGGGATAGTAGAGGAGCTGAACATTATTTAAATAGGGAAAGACTGTAGACAATATGGAACAGTAGGTTTTGGGAGTTGTTGTGCATGAGTCACAAAAGATTGCATCCAAATTTAGTGCGTAATAGAAAGGCAAACAGAATGTTGGCCTTTATTTCCAAGGGATTGGGGTTAAAATTTGGGAGATTTTGCTAAAACTATATAAGGCACTTGTCGGACCACAGTTGGACTTTGAAGAATTTTTGGTGGCTTATCTACGAAAAGATATTATGGCATTGGAGGCATTCCAGAGATGGTTCCTAGGCTGATACCAAGTATGGAGCGACTGTCTTATGAGGAGAGGTTGAATAGGTTGGGCCTGTAACGTTTGGGATATAGAAGAATGAGAGCTCACCTTAGTGAAACATGAAAGATTCTGGGGACTTAAAAGGGTAGATGTTGAGAGGTTGTTTTCCCTTGTGGGAGAGTCCAGGACCAGAGATGCAATCTCAGAAAAATGCGGCATGGTGGCTCAGTGGTTGTCACTGCTGCCTCACAGTGCCAGGGACCCGGGTTCGATTCCAGCCTCAGGTGACTGTCTGTGTGGAGTTTGCGCATT